TAATTTATTTAATTTTTGCAAGAACAGTAACTTTAGAAGAATCTAACTGCCATGTGTCTAGTTTAGTAGATTCTGGTACGATGGTAATAGTTATGAATGAAATAAAAGTGGTCCGAAATGGTCAGACAAGACCATTACTCAAAATTAGAAAAATGAAATAATTTCGTCGTGTCATGGTGCAATTCCCTGGAGTATGCCTACCTATAGTAAATCATTAATCATAAATTTGGCTACAATGTGAGATTTTTGACAAGTGAAAACTATGACAAACAAAAATCATTAATATTTCATATAGACCCTATTGTCGTCGTTAATGATCTCAACTTAGATGCATTGGTAAAGATCAGATCTCGTGAGCAAATGATGTTGTTTTGGAAGCAAACATACCTTGAAACACAAATCAACGAAGCACCGATAAATACACACTATATCCAAATATCATATCTTTTTCACAGTCCACCTCGCCAAACACAAAATCTCAGGACACTAAACATTTTAAGTCCACACATTACTGTAGCACGACCAGCAGGAATTGAATGTGTGCTATCGAAGCTATGACTGCGGAGTTGAAAACAGGCAAAGCCAATCAGGACCCAGCCCAACAGAGCGAGCTCCAAGCTAATATGGCTGCCACTCAGACAATGGGGGCCAGAGAAAGGGAATTTGCTTAGGGGGCAGAGGAGCTACCAAGAGAGGGGCAGAACCCCAGTTACTTCTAACCCGGAATGATGATAGCATTGCATTGCAACTTTTTTTGCAATCTTACATTTTGATCAAATTATTTGCCTCCACCAGGCTCCTCCACCAAAAGTCCACCCCCAAAAAACTACACAAACACGGACAACACACAAATTTCACATTTTTCAATGCATCTAAAACAAACGAAACAACACCCCCAAACGCAATCAAGACGCGATGAACCCTAACAAACTAAATAAGTTTCACGCCAAATTCAACACAAACAAAAACAATCAAACACCCAAATTACTACCACTAAATTTTTTTTTTTTGAGAAACACCAAATTCATCAATGTTTTCTAACAAAAAGCTGTACACAGCAACTTAAGATGAATTTTAATTATTTCCAAATAAAATGTGCTCATGTTGAATTAAAAAAATGTGATGTAAAATACGCCAAGTCAGAAAATAAGAAAATATACCTAAAATACCTACATGTTCGTACTAATTGAAATAATATTTAAGGTCAAAATGCAACATATACTAAACACTTTAAATGCCTCACAAGAAGTCTTGTTCATAATCAAAATTTCACTAAGTCCACTGACATTCAAGTTTGAATTTGTAACCGTGCTGATTAATTGAAAAAAAAACTACTTCAGAAATGAGTTTTGTAAATAAATAACAATAGTATCTAATGCAGCTTTCTACCAGACGGACCTATTTGCAACCATTACATTTAGACAATTGTACAAAAAAAAAACAGTTTATCGTCATTTTCTCTAAAGTCTTTATTTGTGATTTAGCACACTTTGCGTCTATTACGGCAGCAGGATTAGTGCATAACCAGGGTGGGCTCGTGAGAGCCGAAATTAAAAAATCCAAATTAAAAAATCCTAAAAATTTAATAGTTTTACGTTATTGGGCTATGTTACCGGTATACGATAGAAGACGCTAGACTAAACGGATTGTGCATGCTAAGTGTTCATAGAGAAAGATACTGAATTCATTGAAAAGGTGTTGAACAAATTAGGGCTTAAATTTTTGTTCAAACAATAAAAAATTAATTTCTTAATTTTCTGGTGTATTTTCTTTCATAGCATGTGCACCCATTTTTGTTTAAGCCCTTTATTAAAACTCGCAGTTTTTGTTGTCATTTTCAAATTTAAACATTAATCTAAATGCCATTAATTTATTGTTTTATATAAAAAGAGGCAAAGAACTATTAACAATAGAACTGAAAATGTAGAGACCTTGGGCCTACTCGAGTGTTGTAACAATGTAATCTTAAATTCCTAACAAAGGATGACTCTGACTGTAATCCACTTAAAAAGGTAGCAAAGAATTTCTTCTGAGATATTCACTTAATGACAGCCTTTGACTTTTTAATTTAACAGACATCACACACCAAAGAGGGGTCACTCCAACACACAATTCCCGTTATTAAATTTGTAATAATTAAATATCAATATAATTGAATTGCATTTATATTCAAATTTCTGTCACTTCACGATAATTACTCTTGATTTAGTAACAAACACTATCTGTAAAAGTTTTTTTTTTCTTTTTCTTCTAATTTTGTTCTAATGTTGGATTTTTATACATATATACATATAAGTATACATAGATTTCGTTCGAAAAGCATAAGCTTATTATTGCTATGTACAAATAATGGTGGTTCTCCGTGGTGAGTTGTATGATGGTGCTAAATTTTGACCTAGTCTGTGTGTAAACGGCATAATCCGGTTGAATAAAGTAGTCAGGTTGTAAATTCCTGTAAAACACCTAGTCATTTTAGTCTGCATAGTGTCTAGTAAGGTCTGTCCCCAGCATTGGCCACTGAATGAATTGTGCTTACATTGTTTGTTGTATCACCTAAGAAGCGTGGCGTCATGCACAAGGAAAACACCAAAGTCTGGAGTCATGACAACTTGCAAGCATCTCATCTAAAGTGGCTAACATTTGTGCCGAGTGTCCAACAAAGACTCTTTTCTAATTGTAACACTCGTAAAGCTAACTACATCATTGATGCAAGAGCTCATTGGCTATTCGATATGCTAATTTGACCGTCGACTCATACTTGCAACAGGTGTATTCACCATCAAAAATCACTTTCATCTATACTATTATCTGTTTATATAATGTACCTAAATTGTTAACTAATTCAATCAGACTAAAACAATGATATTTTTTTCCAAAGTATCAATAGTTAAAATCTCAGTCTAAATGGAGATCGATCATTGTCGAATGACAGATGGACCATTTGTCAATATTTGTGAGTGTACCTGTCTGTAATCTGACCTAACCTATGTCCTAAATTGACCCTTGTAATATTTCACTATTTTGATTTCATTATACCTAAACTAAGTACGTAGGTATAATCACTCCGCAACTAATCTATCAAAAACTGATCAAAAATTCGAGCTCCTGACAGTACCTTGTTTTAATTATTTTACTGTCCTGGAACAGACGATTTTTCCCCTGTCTATAAATAGTAATCGTAGAATAAAATTTTAAATTAGTTAATTTAAAGACAGGTGCTGGAAGTGAAAAAGAAGTCGGCTGTAGCCCCGGTTTTATTCGATCCAACGTACAAGAATGACTCTTCAAATTTAAACTCGAAATTCGAATATTTCCAAGAAGGCCCACCCTAACGTTGAGTTTTCAAATTATAACGTTTGGAAGTAGTAAAATATTGTCATAAAATCGTACATGAAAAGTTTTGTGTAATTAACAAAGGATCCCCAAAGAATAGAAAAATTTTGCCGACATCATCACGGTCCGGGTTCAACTGTCAGACGACGATCATTACTCATAAAAGTAAGCTATAGTTGGAATATTTTAGACAGAGAGCAAGGAATCTAACTTCCATTGTTAAGTTATTAATCTGGCTGTAGCGAACGATGCTTTCCATCAATCTGAGCAGCATGAAGCGGAGTGTTCTTACATTAAGAGCAAGGGTTCTCCTAGAAGGGAGATACATTTACTAACTTATTATTCTCCTCTCCTATTACTCCTATACTCCATTTATTTATATTTAAAACCTTTCAATTGATTGTTTTTTTAAATAATTTTGCACACCAAAAAATCAAGTGATTTTGATTTTACGTGTTAATCAGTAAATAGTGTAAAATGGACAGTGTAACTCTTACAGTGAAATTAAATTAACTCAGGAGTGTTCATTTTACTCAAAAAATACACTGTTATTTGAAAAAGTGTTTGAGTTGCAGCAGTTGCTCTGGAAACTTTAAAATTAGTAAAATTTAAGCAGAAAAAATTTTCGTGTATTTTAAACTCTAAAAGTCTATTGTAACTCTATTTAATGTTGAATTTAATAAAACAAACATTGCGTTTGTATTATTGTTCATTCCATACTAGTGTTTCATTATAATAAGTTTCTTGTTAATAGTAAATCTACAAGAACGTGTTCCTTGTCTCGCGTGTCAAAAAACTTAGGTAGATAAAAAGTAGGTAGGTACTTTTAAATTGAACACATTTTCCTAAATCTTATAGAATTTTTATTTATGACTGTTGCAGAGTGATCATGACTAGGTACTTATTAGACGATCCTATGACTACTAAAGAATATGCCGAAATGTTTTAGAAATGTAGAAAACTAAAATGTTGCCAATCCCATTTAAAGTCTAATTAGTGATAATATAAAAAAAAAACGGCGCAGATCATGAAAGAATGACCTTTTTAGAATATATTTTTTATTTTCTATTCTTGTAATGAAAAGTTTTAGGTTCCAAAGTATAGGTACATCTTGTTTGTTAAAACTTAAATACCAATAGGTATCATGTTTTATAGTTAATTGACTTTTTATTTTATAATAACATGTACCTACTAATTAAATAAATGTTTTAGATTTATATCATTTTTTGTACCTTAAATTCCCGTGTAATTCAGATAAGAAAAAACTATAAATAGATTAAAAATCATATTAACTCTAAATTCAACACTAAATAGAGTATTATTGTAACACTACAATTTGCACCATGTTAAGTTAGAATTAACTTTAAGCAACACTTTTTTCGAGTTAACACTTGTTAATTTTTCACCACAACGCATATAATACTCTAAATAGAGTTGCATATTGTAAATATGTAACACTGGATTTTTTTACTGTGTAGCAATTCCACAATTTCGGTGATCAAATCAACCACTATATCAATTTATTCAAATTAGCTACGTCAAAGCGTAACAAACCAGCTGCTCAAAATATCAACCGTAAAATCTCGTAATTGATAATTCCGAACATTATACAAAATAAAATAATCTAAATGCACATGGGCGTAAATTAAACCAATTTTTCAACTAACCTGTTTCGGTGTCTATGGTGTAGTTGAAACCTTTCCAAGGATCGGCTAAGTCATTTTCGGGCTCCTCCTGTGAGATTGAAAAAAATTAAATAGGTACAAACCAAATAATTTACTTAAACTGACTTTAATGTTGTCGTCGTTGATGGCTTTCAGAGTTTTCAATTTTTCAATCTCGTCATTTTCCATAGAAATTGATGAAGATGGTGAGCCATTTTGCAAATCTGCATCCGGTTTGTCCGTTTTCCCATTTGCCACATCCAAGGAAAAACCCAAGTCTACGTCTTGCTTCCACAGGACTTCAATCAGATCCATATCCTAGTAGAACAAAAAGCGTAAAAAGTCACACGTGTTTTACAACAAACTTCTCATTTATGGCGTAATTTTACGTAAAGGCAACACTAAATTGATATTGTTATTATCTTGTATATGTACTCAGAGATAAAATAATAACGTCGCTACTAGATAGATATATGTACTTAAAATAATTTTTTTAGAAAAGTACCAACTTGACAGATAATTGTAAAATAGATCAAAACTGACTTACCAAAGCAAATACTTACAATAAATAAATTAAAGCAAATACAATTAAAAGTACCAAAATATTGTGTAACTGGAGATAAAAGAAGTGATTTAAATAAACTTGCGTAATGTTTAGATAAGTTAAGGATATTCCTCGGTTGTATGCTATTTTGTAAACGAGCCGAAGCCGTTATACAATTAATGATATTTTCGATTAATCAACGACATATTCGTTGACGTACGAAACAAAACAACACCTGTTTTAATATACGGACAAAATTAAAGCCCGGCATGGGTTACACGATGAAAAAGTAAAAGGAGCGTCAAGCGTCATAGGTAGGTATCAGCGGGTCGACAAGATGGCGGCCGAAACTACAACCGATGGTTCAACCAAGCGGGAGACCAAGGTGTGGTTCTCGTTTCCCTGTTACCCTACTGTTAACTTAACCAACACCCATTGTCTTTTATGCTCCTCCCAGCTTAATCATATAACCGGCAACGATTTTTTTTCGAAGGGGCTCCTCTATCAAACAATCATAATTACTTTTTTCTTCACGTGCGTCAATCTCGAAGAAACTTTGCCACTCGCTAAATTGAATAAGTTTGGAAATTTTCGACGGATTTGCTTTCCGGAGATGGAGATGAGCAAACTAGTTTATTTAAATCGAATATATTTATATTTCAACTTGACATTAGCAATTAATATTAATCTTTTATTTATATTATTATTTAATCAATAATCGCTTCCCTAAATTCTTAGAAATTTTAATCAAATCCTAACACTCATTTATATTACAAATCAAAGACTTACAACGTGATCACTTCTTTAAAACATAACAATTTTGACCTGTACCAATTTGTTTATATTTATTATTTATGCATACTGATACGTTTTAAACAAAAAGGAATTTGTCTTAATACGAAAATTAAAGAATATTATGAGAAACATAAAACCTTATACAAAATAGAAGTAAAAAATTATCTCTTTAACTAAGACGATGTTAACTTCATATTATTTGATTTGATGAAGAATTAAAAAAGAATTCCTTTTACGCTCAACTTTTTTTATTTAGAACAAAAAATTAGATTATCAACATTTTAACAGTTTAACGTTCGTTCTCTCATCTTTTAAACACATTTTTAAAACGAACGAAAAAATGTGATTACACCTTTCAATCTACTTAATTTAATTTTCCAATACCAAAAAACAATATGTGCTTAGTAAATTGTATTTTGAGTTGTATTTTTACTTGGTCAAGCTCGTCATCTTAGAACAACCCTGAATAAAATACTCAACAATATAAATAATTCAATATCGTATTACTTTCTTTATTTCTTCCTTTTATACATAGTCATAAAAAACTACGACTTTTAGTCTATTATAGAAAAAAAAAAAATTAAGAATAATTTTGACCAACTAATAAATATTATTTTTTATTACTCAGCTACATTTTTTTAACGTTTAAATATAATAAACACGTATGTAATATAGGTACAGTGAACGGCAAAATTATGGAACACCTAATGTTATTTATTAAAACTGAAAATATTTTGTTTTGACAAAAATGCTCAAACAAGTAAATTTTCTTTTTCAAAAATACAAAATTCTCAACTTGATTTCAAATTGTGTGTTTTTTTTTTGTTGATATTGTATCACTTTTTGGATGTTTTTTTTTTTTAAACTTTATGAATATTTAATATTTTGGTGTTGTCATGTCGAAAATTAAAAGATCTATTGAATTGGCAAAAAAATTAGAGGTTTCATTAAAAAAAAAGTCGATGACGTCTACTTAAACACCAAAAAGTGTAGAATTTTAAATCAAGTTGAAAATTGTGTATTTTTTTTCAAAATTGACCTGTTCGAGCATTTTAGTCATTTTAGCATGTTAGTTTAGCTTTGGAAAAAATGCCAATAATTTTAACTAACAAACTAAATTTTGAAGCTGGTGCATTCGAGCATCTTTTATAACTTTGCGTTGTTTCGTTTTGCGAAGAGTAAATTCTAGTTTATCACGTTCTTCCTATTTCAAAACCTTTGTTTTTAAGTAGGTAGATTTGACGGAAATGTGACTTCCATATCTAAATTTAATTGAACTGTTAAAATTTAGTTTGTTAATTAATTAAAATTGGTGGCGATTTTTCCAAAGCACTCTTTGAAAAAACGCGTTTTTTTTTTTAATTTTAATCAGCATGTAAAATTTAATCATATCGTGTGATACATCGTTGTAATCAGGAACAAAAACACTTTTCAAAAATACAGAAATCAAATATGGCGTTCATAAGAAAATCCAAAATTGAGTGTTGTAAATCTGATACCAAGAGCACCCTGAAAAATACGATGACAGATTTAGATTCTTGGTAAAAAAGTGCCTTAAGAACGTCCTAGTTAAAAACGTGTAGGTCTTTTAGTTTTCGCTTGAAAAAATAAAAACGAAAATTACAAATTTCCGTTTTTTTCCAGTAATTCAAAAACTAAAAATGACACATTAAATTTTCATTCAGATTATTGTTCAGCATAATTAGGTATACGCAACTTTGTCCTAATTTAACCGACCTCGTATCTCTTATAATAACTGAGATCCCCATTGTGGAGCTTGAAAAACGAACACCCTGTATATTAAAAAATATATAAAATTGTACTCGTATAAGTTCTCTCTTACTTTTCACTTTAAGTATATGCGGGTATATTATTTAAGTTAAATCTAACCTTATACTATGTACAACATGCATATGGTATCACAGTGCTTTTTGCTTAATATTAATAAAAATTAATTGCTGCTATAGAAAATTTCTTACAATCAAATTATTTAAATTGAAAGAAATTTGTCAAGTTTTAACTTACGTTCAGTTTAAGTGTTTAATAGAAATAACCAAAAATAATGCCTATAAAAAATTGCAAAAACAAAAAATTGATATTATATTTTTGAGTTAGTGGAGTGGCGATTTTTGGACCGGAAACTCAATTGCGGTGTTTAAAAATAACACTTTACTCAATCAGTCGATTACAGAAAGTAATCGAAGTGGTTAGGAATAACCAAAGCGCGAAAAAACTATTAAACGCTTAATATTTTTAGAATAAAAAGGCGACCTAATAAAATTTTGTTAGATTTCCGTTTTGTAAGGAACTTTTTAAGCTCGAATGATCTGTGACGGTTTAGGTCTATTGCACAAGAGGAAATAACCACAAAACATTTTACACTTTATGAGGAACAACGTCCTAAAAAATTCTTTCACAAACGCGACATTGTTTTTATTTTTGAATAGAAACAATTACATCGAGACTGGAATTGCAACCGCTCAATTAAAACGGTAAGTATTGGCAAAATAAGTGTGACGCTTTTTGCGTAGCGAAAAAATGAAGATTTTATTGTTAGTCAAAAAATAATAAAAATAAAATTATCTGTGATAACGAATTATCACTTACAAGAAAGTTATATTAACTTTCGAGTACCCATTCATCATGTAGTCTTGGTACGATAACTGCACAATGGTAAATGCGAAATTTCACAGTGGTTTCGGTGAAACCCTTTTATGCGACAATATAACTGTCAGTTACCTGTCCACCTCAAGAGGGTGGTTTCAAAAAATCCCAAACTCATTACCTACATATTCATCAAAATATTTCAGGCCGGTTAATTGAAGTTAAACAAAAATAAAACCGAATTATAATAAACTCCAACTAGGCGGAATGCTATAATTACAAAAGAATATAATCTTGACATGCAATCTTACATACCGATAAAATAATTAAAAAGAATTAGTCAAACAATTCATTACTGGTGTCTTAGACAAAACAAAGTTATTTGAATAAACAATCCTATTTGCTATTGTATTGTTAGATACATTGTTTTCTAATGTGATAACTCGCCGCCCCGGATTTAATTCGTATTCGTTGCTCTATTTGATGATTAAAACTAAATCTCTTCCATTCCACATTATTTTAAAGATAACAAATTTCGTCGTTCCCTTTCACTATCTCAGATAGGTAGGTATTTATGGAAATTATACATTCTTTTGCAGAGGTAGGCACTCTTCACTTTGTCTTTAATCAGTAGCGTAATTTCAGATAACGCAAAACTATTTTTAGAATCTGCAACACGTGAAAATCCATATCTGTTTTTATTTTCCACATGTATGACTATTATACCTGTCAAAAGCTGAAAAGTAATGGATTGTTCGATTTTTTGTTTTTTTTTAGGTCATTAAGAATTTTTTTTTATTATTTTGCTTTCTTCTATCAATTTTTTTGTGATAGCTACTACTATATTATTTCTTTTACGGGTGCTATTACATTAAAAATATTTTACGAATTTTTGATTTTTGGAAACAGAAAAAAATATCGTGGTAATAGGTAAATATTTTTAGACACACATAAATAGTGACCTAAGGTCTCAATTTATCAAATACCTACAACTCCAAACACGTATCTACCTACCTAATTTGTCTAAACTATGTGTTATGTGTTACAACTTTTTCAAAACAAAAATCTAATTCTAAAAAAACATTTAACATCAAAACATCTAACTTAAATTACCAAGTTTTAAAGTTGACATAAAAGTGAAATTCTCCACAGTACGATAAAAATTCATTGAATGTTCAATTTTCCATTGAACTGACTCTATTGTATAGTTTAGTACAAGATTCATAAAATTTATTTAAAGAAAAATCAAAATCAAAAGTTTAATAAAAAATTACTTTTTCGAGAAAAACGCAATAAAAAATAGTGTTTTTTTTCTACTTTTAAATTTTGTATTAGACGATACTGTATTGTAACTGTAACTAACTAACAATAATTT